CATACCATGTAAGCTAATAGGCAAATATTATTATTTAAACCCAGTTTATTAGTACAATACAGTATAATATAAAATAATTTGATAAGTAATATAAATGGTTTAATTAATAATGATACGTAATATATATAATAGAAAATCCACCACCTAAAATATGTTCTAGATCCGCGCTTGATATTGATAATCTATATCTTTTACATCAGAAAACCATAATGCGTGTTTTTCTATTGTGACAGATCCTCAGTCTATTAAGTATTATTTTTTATTTTATTTTAAATTCAAGGTTTTTCAATTGTGTTTTTCCTGGTTTTGATTTATTTGAATGTGTATTAATTTGTACAACGTATAATAATTATGTAAAACTTTAAACACTGACATAACTGTAGCTGCACAATACCTTCAAGAACATTTAAATCTTATAGATAACTGAGACAATAACTGGATGATTAGTATTAACGAAAGCAAATCTTCCCAAATCACTTTCGCTCTACGTCCTGGCATCTGCCCAACCATAAAACTCAAAAATAAAAACATACCTATCTTGAACAAGACAAAGTATCTAGGAATAATTTTAGACAAATGCTTAACTTGGAAACCCCATCTCCAAAACAAAAGGAAACTTGCCAACAGTAGACTCCATCATCTCTTCCGACCTCTCTTTAAGTCTAAACTTAATCTAAAAACCAAAATGTTACTGTATAATACAATGATCAGACCTATATGGTCATGTGGTATTCAAATATGGGGGATGGCCAAACCCTCAAACATTCACCCCATCTAATCTTTCCAAAATATTGCCCTACGCACTATAAAATATGGTACTCCATGGTACATGAAAACCTTTCACTTCACAACGACCTCAAAATAATAAATGTCATTGACTACGCCAAAATGCAATACTACCGTTTCCACTCCAAACCCAACTCCAGTACTAATCATCTCATTAAAGACATGGCTTCACTGTATATCCCAGGCAACTCCTCACGCAGGCTTAAACGTAATTGGAATCGCAATCTACTTAAGTAATCGTTAATCCAACTAAAAGTTAGTAGGTGTCACCAATGGGTGACTACCTTAAAAGCTGTTACTTTTTCAAATTATATGTTATGTTTTTAGATTT